TTTATTTATTTAAATTTTTGTAATTAATAATTATTATATTGGGGCAGATGGGAATCGGAGGGCGACTATAATGAAAAGTGAAAAAAAAAACCCTTCGGCGCACCTTTCTTACGTGAGTTTACCTTAATACCCTTGGGAGATATTTTGCATTTTCGTGGTACATAGTAAATATATATATATAGTTTTTCATTGTGCGATTAGCCGATTACAGCTTTGTCTGTTTAAATCTAAAAAGCAATAATGTTATTATTTATTTTTTACCTCTTTTAATCTACGTTATGTCTAAAAAATTATTAAGCCGTCATCTGACAAATATGTATGGAGTTATGTGTTCGTATCTCATAAGTCACAAACATTATGAATATTATTAAAATTATTCATTCAAACTTTTATTCATTGCAAACATATTAAAATAGTTTATATGACAGCCATTAAATACTACTTTCAATATATTTATAAATAAAAAGTACATAAAATTTCAGGTGTGTTCAAATTTAAATAATTTTTTATGGGCTCAATTTTGAATATTCCAGACATTTGGTCAAACGCATAGGTGTGTTCAAATTTAAATCATTGACATTTTGGTCAGTTGAAATTTAAATAATCTACCATGGTACTGTGATATGTATTATATATATACAAGTTTTTAACAAATAATATGTGCTTTATAAAAATAATAATAATAATTTCACAAGATTTTAAACGTATAATTTGGTTTTTAATCACAATAGAAAAATCATGGTAAGTTGTATTAAAAAGGTGTTATGAGATAAAACAATTAACAAAAATAATTAAATAAAATACTTGATGGAAATAGAATGCATTAATTATTTTTGACTTTTTTACTACTTATTCTAGTAAATATAATGCCTTTTATATAAGTATAGATGTTCTTATCTTTATTTATTTGATCGATGTGGATTTTTAAGATAAAGTATTTGATATAGCCCGATTCAAATGATGATTAGCCGACTAAAAATTGCGGACGACTTCATTAAGTCGACATCTACGATGTCGACTTGGCCCATCGGCCGTTCAAAGGCCACTGGTCCGGCCACGGTCTCTAGTCGACTTTAGGAAGTCGACCGAGTACAAGACGACTTCACTGAAGAAGACGAGGAGGCACTCTAGGAGCCCCGGATACATGTGTAACCTTAAATCGACTCGGTAAGGTCCCAAGTCGACTTATAAGACCTCCGACGACTTGATACACTTAGATGCAGCATATGAAGGATCCCTAAGTGAGTTCACACAGGATGAGAAGGAACCCAGATGTTGACTCAGGAGTGGGTAGAATGCGAACCGACCAGGGCATTTTGGACACTTCGCGTAAGTCGGCCAGGGCATTTTAGGTACTTCAAGTAAATGTTTATACCCCTATATAAAGGGGATGAGGTAACTCCAAACCTAACTTGGAGGCGATTCAAACAGATCAGAGCCCATTTCCACCGGTTCACTCCAAATCTAGGAGGAGACTCATCGGTATTTTAGGCTGCAATTATTTTTTTAATAATAAATAGAAAAAATTTAAATTAGTGTGATGTAAAAGAAAATGATTAATAAGCAATAAACAAAAACATATAAGTGAATGAATAAAAAATTGTATAGTAACAATTTTTTTTAAACATTATATTACTATAATTGAGGTGATAAATAACACAAAACAAAAAATAATAAATTTTGTGAGTTTTATAATTCAAAAATCTCATAAAATAAATTATAGACTAATGAGATGGATTTTATTAAATTTTTATACAAAATCTAATAAAATTTATTGTTAATAATTTTAAATGACCAAACAAAAAATATAAGTATATTTTATCCAAATGTCCATTTTCTCGAATAACACCCCAACAGGATGAACCAAAAATCTCTCTAAAAAGCATCCCCAACAAGGATATAAGTGTAATTTAACCCCAAAGCAAGTCTGCTTTTCGAGACGTTCTGCGAGATCCCACCTGACAGTCACGTGCCCGGTGGCGAGTTTTCTTCACACACACGTCCTTTTTTATCCACGACATCATTTCACTGGGACCCACACACCCCCCAACCCTAGCAACCCACCCCCCAAAAATTGAACTCCCGATCGCACGGTCAGAAGACCGCACACGTGTCCAGACAACCCGATCTCCACCGTTCATGACAGATGTTACGGTCAACTCCCCCCAGCCAGCAAACAAACCCATCTCCCCCGTCGGATCATGGCCTCCTCACAAATTGACGGCCCACAAGCTGCCCGAAAATTCTCCGGGCAGATCTCATCGCCTTTAAGAGGCAGCCATCTCCACCTCTCGTTTCCTCGCTCAAACCCTAATTGCCCCTTTTCGCCCACCCACGATTAGGTGTAGTTCTCCGCCCCTTCACCCATCTTTTCAACGAAATATCTCAAATTTTTGCCCCCCACAAATTTAGCGGCGGCGGCCGTTGTATTCGATCGGCGGTAATATCTCTTTCTCCGACGGGGGTCTCCGGCGATATATTTTAATACATGTTTTTTGGGATAAAATGCTGCCGGAGTTTCGTCGGAGCTGAGATCCACCGACGGTGTGATTCATGGCGTCCGCCGTGCTAGTGAGCCAGAAAGAGTCGAGCTGGGGCCCCATGGGGAAGAATCCGTACTCCAATCCCCATTTCAATGCGAACCCTAACCCTAACCCCAAGAAAAAGCAGAAGCAGTTCCACCACGTCGCCGCCGCCGCGAACGGCGTTGCCGGCGGGCGGTTTCATGGCAACGTCAACAGTCACCACAACTTCGAATCGCCAGCAGTGACGCAGACGGCGTCAGATGACGCCTATTCCTTCAACCAGACGACCACCAGCCGCAACGCAGCCAATTACGGGGGCTACTTGTCCTTTAATGTAGCCTCGTACACGAAATCGGAGCTCCTCGAGCTTCGGAAGCGGCTGTTGGCGGAGCTCAATCAGATCCGCGACTTGCGAGATCGAATTCAGTCTGGTCAACTCAGCACAATGGAGAATCCTAGATCCCAGGTGAAATCGAATAAATTCGCCGGAAACAAGAGACCTGGCGCTGTTGTTGCATCAACTCCCAAGAATTTGCCCAATGTATACGGCAATGGTGGTATAGACCCTGTCAATTGGGAGTTGATGCTAAAGGAATGTGGCAAGATCGTGGCAAAATTAATAAAGCACAAGTTTGGCTACGTATTCAAGGATCCCGTTGATGCTGTGGCCATGGGACTTCATGATTATCATCTCATTGTGAAGCAACCCATGGATCTTGGCACAGTGAAAACAAATCTCTCCAAGAATCTCTACAGGACTCCTATGGAGTTTGCAGCTGACATGCGGTTGACTTTCAACAATGCATTGCTGTACAACCCCAAGAATGATCCTGTCAATGTGATGGCAGAACAGTTGTTGGCCAAATTCGAGGATTTGTATAAACCAATACAGGAGAAGATTGATAGTTCCTTAGAGCAGCAAAGGGAGTTGGAGGCTTGCGATTTTCGGGCAGTTGATGAGCTCCATTACAGGGGTTTTGTTGAGTTGCAGGGGAGCTCATGGAATAACCATGGCAACCAGGTTTTACCATCCCCAGTCAGAGGGAAGAAGAGTAAGCCTAAAAGTAGTCCAGTTCCCATTTCCGAGGTGTTGAAGAAGCCTGACAGATTGCAAGCTCATTCAAGTGCTTCAACAGCTTCAAATCCCCCTCCGATGATCCAGCAGCCTCCTTTGATGCATGAGATGACACATTCTCCTGTGAGAGCTCCCGCTGTGCCGCCTGTTAGAGAGCTGAAATCTGGGAGGGGTTCTGCACCGAAGCTGCCAAAGCCAAAAGCTAAGGATGCTGATAAACGAGACATGAGTATGGATGAGAAGCAGAAGCTAGGTATGGGTTTGCAGAGCTTGCCTCAAGAGAAGATGCCTCAGTTGGTGCAAATCATAAGGAAGAGGAATAGACACTTAGCTCAGGATGGAGATGAAATTGAGCTTGACATTGAGGCCCTGGACAAGGAAACCCTGTGGGAGCTTGACCGTTTTGTCACCAACTGGAAGAAGATGGTGAGCAAGACTAAGCGGCAGGCATTGATGAACACTCCAGCAGTTGAGGCTCCTGCTCCTGTCAGTCCTGTTGGCGAAGCTGATATGGTAAATTAGCTTTCTTAGCTGCTATTTGTACTTATTGCTTATCTATGCTGTTGATAATTCAGTGGAATGAATAAATGCGCTCACTGCATATAAACAATGGCTTGTAGGGTGCAATGAGTGACAAGAACGATGATGATTTGGTGAAGAAATTGAAGGATAATGATGATGAAGATGTGGACATTGATGATGATATGCCTGCTGCAAGTTTCCCGCCAGTGGAGATTGAAAGAGATGAAGGGACAGGTGCTGTTGCTGTCCAGGAGCAGATCCATGATAATGTAGATGCTCATCATGACCATGATCATGTAGGAGCCCAGGTTCAGGATCATGGAGTTGGTGGCCATGATAATGATGAACGAGGCAATGCAAGCAGTAGCTCAAGCAGTTCAGGAAGCTCGAGCAGTGATTCGTCTTCCTCAAGCGGTACTGACATTGATTCCAATTCTGATTATTCCTCTTGTATTTGTTCTTTGCGTTGAGGATAATAATTATAAAGCGGTAAAACAAGTGCTCTGTAGTTTGAGCTTGCTTTTGTCTTTTTACAGATTCTGATTCAGGGAGCTCCTCTGGGAGTGATTCAGATGCGGATGATGCGCAGTCTTGATATCTGTGGTCTCTCGGTATGAGATGTGATGAGATGGAACTTAGGTCGGGGTGTATCTGTTGTATGGATTAGTAAAGCAAGTTTGTTGTTGAGGTATACAAAACATTAGAAGATTGTATTTCGCGCTTGTTGAATTCTTCTTTGTTTCGCTAGGTTTACCAATAGAATGCTGAAAATCTTGAAATCCCCTTTTGCAGAGTGGCAAAGCTGAAAAACAAAGCTGCCCTTTTGGGTTGGTGGTGGTTTGTGTGAAGTTTGATGGGATTTCAATGTATTCCTAGCCTGTTGTTTGCTGAGTTGGTAAGGGAAGGACTAGTGTAGAATAGGAGTGGGTACAAAGAAAAAAGATTCAGTAGAATGTAGATATAGAGCTGAATGGGGGATATTTGTCTCTGTACAGTTTCACCAAAGAATTAGTGGCCAAGATTTCTGAATGAAAGCCAATCTTTTGATTATGTGCAATTGGATGTGTTTTATCTTTCCAGCTCTCTTTAGCTTAAATCATGAATTGTACTTTTGGCCGTATTTGGGAGGGAGTGATATGGTGGGGTGTGCTGAGTAATGTGCTTGAAAATGATTTCTTCATTCATTATTCGATCGAACCAACGAAGGCGGGCTGTTACCTGATGAGAAGAATAAACCCTTAACTGAGGAACACGTCTCACTGAAACCGAACCCAATCCTATTGTCGAATCTGACCGCGAACAGGACTCGTCTTTAATGCGGGCTTTCTCCATACCACAGGGATTCTAGAAGTGTACCTTCACTCGTGTGAAGAGTGCTGATAATGCCCTCTGCCCTATCTGCCACCAAAATGTGGAATCCTCCCTCCATGTTAACCGTGTCATTATGTGAGTGCTATGTAAATGAATGTACTTGATAAAAAGAACTATGCATGTAATGTTGGCTCTGCAAAGTTTCACGAGTCAGGTAACTAAAGAATCAAATATATGGAACTTTGTGCGAGTGAGTTCATCATTCTTTGCTGGTTCCAGGATGCTGATTGTTTCTTTTTCGACAGATTGGAAGCTGATTTTTTACTCTTGAATGGCTTTAAGTACCTTTGCAGTAAAGGCTCGAGTACTGTGAGATGCACTGAGTCGCCTCTGGCAGATTCTTTGGCTTTAAATAGTTTCTTCTGCGTTGGCTAAAGCTTGTTTACTCTGTGAGATGCACTGAGTCGCCTCTGGCAGATTCTTTGGCTTTAAATAGTTTCTTCTGCGTTGGCTAAAGCTTGTTTACTGATCAGTTCAAAACATCCTCATCTTCTTCAGAGGATCCTACAAGACTAGACAGAGCCAAAAAGCTTTTCTACAACAGATTACAATTCCAGAGGCAGCTTTAAAGGAGCAGCTTTAAAGAACTTTCCTGGACAATACAATTTGAAGCAGCAGTTGGAAGAACAAATATCTCAGTGCATGTAATTTACTTGCATCTATGTTAAGAGCATCTCCAATGGTTGTTGTCTATATCGCAGTAAAAGTGCATGTAATTTACTTGCATCTATGTTAAGAGCATCTCCAATGGTTGTTGTCTATATTGCAGTAAATAGACGGCCTTCTGTCTACATGTACTGAAGAGAGTACGTGTACTGAAAATAGTATACGATACACATTTTTTTTTTTTTTTATTTCTTCTATAGAATACTATAAACTGTATTTTAGTGATCATAGTTTTAGTCTTGACAGACTTTCAGATGTAGAAAGACGTCTGATGTTTTGTATCTCCTACCACATAATTAGAAGTAGACAATAAATAGACGGCCTTTTGTCTACGTGTACTACACGAAGAGAGTACGTGTACTGAAGAGAGTATATGAAACATGTTTTTTTTTCTTCTATAGAATATTATAAACTGTAGACGGCCTTCTGTCTACGTTGACTGAAGAGAGTACATGTACTGAAGAGAGTGTACGATACACGTTTTTTTTTTTCTATAGAATACTATAAACTGTATTTTAGTGATCATAGTTTCAGTTTAGACAGACTTTCAGATGTCTGGATGTTTTGTGTCTCTCCTGTCACATAATCAGATGTAGAAGTAAAAAAACTCATTGTTGGAGACGTCTTCTATCCTAATCCTCCCTTTATATAATTCCCGAATGCGCTGAGCCTACGTGGTTGCTTCTGGTGCTTCGGAATCCTATTTGGCGAAGAATCATGGTTCGTAATTAGGTTTGGATAAATAATATTGATATATTAATAATTAATAATCTAGGTTCGGGTATTCCATAAATATTATTTAGCTAACTTAGGTATTTTAATATCACTTTTACTAATATAACCCTTTAATTCTTTGTGATTTTACATAGTGAGACATTAAGTGACTAATATATCCCTGAAATTTGATTTGTTTCCTTCAATAAGCTATTGAATTATAAATGTATTTTAAAAGTTGATAACTTTTGTATTTCTTATCGGTTTTACATATATAATATATCAAATTAATCATCTTTTGATGATCTTCGATTTGACATCCATATTGTATATATAAAATAAATAAATTATATTTATCTTTATAATAATAATAAAAAATAATATTTATTAAAATTCATTAGAAAAATAAAATTATTTCTCAATTGATATATTTATATGTAATGTAGTTATATATTGTAAGTTAAAAAAAAAATTAGTATAATATAACACAAGTAAGTTACACAAATAAAAAGTGTCATAATAAATATATAATAATATATATATATATTCTAATAAAAAGTATTTAAATTTTCAAACTACTTTTTCTCATTAATTTTAGATTTTAAGAAAAAAAATTAGCAAGCACCCGTGTAATATACGGGTATTGTACTAGTACCTCTATAATTCTACAATTGACATATCATTGGAGATTTGTCTTCTATCCTAATGCCTTTATAATTCTACACACGTCCCTAGCATATGAAGTAACAAGCATATGCAATTCGAAGCACCTACTTATTAAAATAACTACCCTTACATGTTAATACAGAGACAAAATGGCACAACACTGCCAGAAAATAAACAAGGTTATATAAATATGGGAAGTATTGAAATGGATGAAAAGGGAAATTCTTGTTAATGATGGTGTCTTTAGGTTAAAAGTCAAATTTAAAATGAACGAACCAACCAGCAAGCAAGCCCCAAATTTATTGTAAACACTAGCAGATTTTTTGTGTTTAAAAAAAAAACGAAAATAATATTTAAAAAAAAAAAAA